TCAATTTTCCGTTTCCTCAATTTTTCAAGATTTTAATTGTTATTTTTCTTTTCCCCGATTTTTAAATTTTTATTTTGTCGATTTGATATCCCAACTTTTCGCTTTCTCATTTTTTCTATTTTTTCGAAGTTTCGAAGGATTTTATAATTTTTCTCAATTTTTATATATTCGGTTTTCATTCTTCAATTTTTCGGTTTCCCAACTTTTAAATTTTTCAGTTTTGCAATTTTTGGATTTCTCAATTATCATTTCCGATTTTTTTTAATTTTTAACATTTTGATTTTAGAATATTTCGTTTTTTCGATTTTTGCGTCTCTCAATTTTTTATTTTTCGATTTTTCAATTTTTCTTTTCTTCAAATTTTCAAGTTCGTGGTTTTCATTTTTAGATTTTTCAAAGTTTTCATGTTATACTTTTCAGTTTTTTCACTTTTGATTTTCCAACTTTAGTTTCGTCAATTTTTTAACTCCAGGGCTTCCAAATTTTCGATTTTTCGTTTCTTCAATTTTTCGATTTGCAGTTGTTGAATTTTGCAATATTTCAGTAATTAAAATTTTTCATTATTCGATTTTTTGGTTTTGAATTTTCCGTTTCGTCAGTTTTTTAAGTTTTTGATTTTTATTTTTCATTTTTCCGATTTTTAAATTTTTATTTTCTCGATTTGAGATCACAAGTTTTCGCATTTTCATCTTCTTTATTTTTTCAATGTTTATTTGGATTTTATAATTTTTGTCAATTTTGTAAATAATCTTCAACCTGCTCTTACTTTTCAATTCTTCGGTTTTCCAACTTTAAAATTTTTCAGTCTTGCAAATTTTGGATTTCTCAAATATCTAATTGTCCCATTTCTTTAATTTTTAATATTTTGATTTTACAATATTTCGTTTTTTCCATTTTTAGGTTTCTCAAATTTTAATTTTTCAATTTTTCAATTTTTTTTTTCAGTTTTTCAAGTTCGTGATTTTCAATTTTTGGATTTTTCAAAGTTTTCATTTTATACTTTTCAGTTTTTTCATTTTTCATTTTTTAACTTTAGTTTCTTCAATTTTTTAATTTAACGTCTTCAAAATTTTTAATTTTTCGTTTCTTCAATTTTTCGAATTGCAATTTTTGAATTTTGCAATATTTCTATATTACAATTTTTCATTTTTCGATTTGTTAGTTTCTCAATATTTAGATTTTTAATTTTTTGATTTTTCAATTTTCCGTTTCCTCAATTTTATAATTTTTCTCCAATTTTTAAAACTTCAATCCTTCATTTTTCAATTCTTTGGTTTCCCAATTTTTAAATTTTTCAGTTTTGCAATTTTTGAATTTCCCAATTATCTAATTTTCCGATTTTTTTTAATTTCTAATTTTTGATTTTAGAATATTTCGTTTTTTGGATTTTTGGGTCTCTCAATTTTTTATTTTTCGATTTTTCAATTTTTCCTTTCTTCAACTTCCTGGTTTCCATTTCTAGATTTTTCAAAGTTTTCATATTATACTTTTAAGTTTTTTCATTTTTGATTTTCCAACTTTGGTTTCTTCAATTTTTTAATTTCACGGCTTCCAAATTTTCAATTTTTTGTTTCTTCAATTTTTCGATTGGCAAAGAATTTTACAGTATTTCGATATTACAATTTTTTATTTTTCCATTTCTCAGTTTATCAAGGTTTAATTTTTCGATTTTTCAATTTTTCGTTTCCTCAATTTTTCAGGTATTTGATTTTTATTTTTCATTTTCCCGGTTTTTTAACTTTTATTTTCCAAATTTTAAATCACAATTTTTCGGTTTTTCATTTTTTTATTTTTTCAATGTCTACTTCCATTTTAAAATTTTTCACAATTTTTTAAATCTTCAATCTAGAATTTTTTAATTCCCCGATTTTCCATTTTTTAAATTTTTCATTTAGCAATTTTTAGATTTTCCGATTATCCGATTTTCGGTTTTTTTTTTTATTTTCTAATATTTTGATTTTACAATATTTCGTTTCTGCAGTTTTTCGATTTTAAGGTTCCTCAATTTCTAATTTTTCGATTTTTCAATTTTTGCTTTCTTCAATTTGTCAAACTCGTGATTTCCAAATATTAGAATTTTCAAGATTTTCGTTTTATACTTTAGTTTCTTGAATTTTTTTATTTCACATCTTCCAAATTTTCAATTTTTCGTTTCTTCAAATTTTCAGTTTTACGTCGTTACAATTTTTCATTTTCCGTTTCCTCATTTTCCCGATTTTTTAATTTTTATTTTCTGCATTTGAATTTACTTCTTCATTTTCTTTATTTTTTCAATGTTTCCTTCAATTTTACGATTTTTCGCAATTTTTTAAAGGAATTTTTAATATTTTGATTTTACAATACTTCGTTTTTTCTATTTTGCACTGTTTCGATTTTTAGGTTCCTCAATTTTTAATTTTTCTAATTTTCAATTTTTGATGTCTTCAATTTCTCGCTTTCGTTATTTCCAACTTTTAGATTTTTCAAAGATTTCTCTTTTTGATTTTTCAACTTTAGTTTTTTCAATTTTTTAATTTCACTACTTCCAAATTTTCAATTTTTTGTTTCTTCAATTTTCCGAAGTGCAGGTGTTCAATTTTGCAATATTTTGATATTAGAATTTTTCATTTTTGGATTTTTCAGTTCCTCAAGTTTTAATTTTTCAATTTTTTTTTCAATTTTTCGTTTCCTAAATTTTTCCAGTTTTTGATTTTTAGTTTTCATTTTCTCGTTTTTTTATTTTTATTTTCTCTCAATTTATAATGTTTGGATTATTCGTTTATTCAAATTTTCGTTTCCTCCACTTTTCCAATCTTTAATTTTTAGTTTTCATTTTCCCAATATTTTAATTTTTATTTTCTCGATTTTATATAATAATTTTTCGGTTATTCATTTGCTTAATTTTACCAATGTTTCTTCCGGTTTTATCATTTTTCGTAATTATTGAAATTTTGGATTTCTTATTTGATTTTCAGATTTCTTTAATTTTTAATATTTTGATTTTACAATACTACGTTTTTTTCTATTTTGCAATGTTTCGCTTTTAAGTTCCATTTTTGAATTTTTCCAGTTTGCGATTTCCAATTTTTAGATTTTTCAAAGTTTTCATTTTATATTTTTCAGTTTTTTCATTTTTGATTTTTTCAATTTAGTTTCTTAATTTTTTTAATTGCGCATCTTCCAAATTTTCAATTTTTCGTTTCTTCAATTTTTCGATTTGCAAACAATTTGGAATATTTCTATGTTAAAATTTTCCATTTTTCCATTTCTCAGTGTTTCAAGGTTTCAATTTTTCGATTTTTTCAATTTTCGTTTCCTCAATTTTTCAGGTATTTGATTTTTATTTTTCATTTTCCCGATGTTTTAAGTTTTATTTTCCAAATTTTAAATCACAATTTTTCGGTTTTTCATTTTTTTATTTTTTCAATCGCTACTTCCATTTTAAAATTTTTCGCAATTTTTCAAATCTTCAACCTAACATTTTTTAATTCCCCGATTTTCCAGTTTTTAAATTTTTCAATTTAGCAATTTTTAGGTTTTCCGATTATCCAGTTTTCAGATTTCTTTAATTTTTAATATTTTGATTTTACAATATTTCGTTTTTGCAGTTTTTCGATTTTTAGGTTCCTCAATTTTTGATTTTTTGATTTTTCAATTTTTGCTTTCTTCAATTTGTCAAGTTCTTGATTTCCAAATATTAGATTTTTCAAAATTTTCGTTTCATTCTTTTCAGTTTATTCATTTTTGAATTTTTCACTTTAGTTTGTTCAATTTTTTAATTTCACATCTTTCAAATTTGTTAATTTTTCGATGTTACAATTTTTCATTTTCTGTTTCCTCATTTTCTCGATTTTTTAATTTTTCTTTTCTACATTTGATTTCACTTCTTCATTTTCTTTATTTTTTCAATGTTAATTTCGATTTTATAATTTTTCTCATTTTTTGAATCTTCAACATCTCATTTTTAATTCTTCGTTTTCCCAATTTTAAAATTTTTCAGTTTTGCAGTTTTTTGATTTCTCGATTATCTAATTTTCCGATTTCTTTAATTTTTAATATTTTGATATTACATTATTTCGTTTTTTCGATTTTTAGGTTTCTCAGTTTTTATGTTTCGATTTTTCAATTTTTTCTTTCTTCAATTTTTCAATTTTTTAGATTTTTCAAAGTTTTCATTTTTTGCCTTTCAGTTTATTCGATTTTTGACTTTTTAACTTCACTTTCTTCAATTTTTTAATTTCACTACTTCCAAATTTTCAATTTTTCGTTTCTTCAATTTTTCGATTTGCAATTGTTCAATTTTACAATTTTTCATTTTTGGATTTCTCAGTTTTTCAAGTTTTAATTCTTCGATTCTTCCAGTTTTTCATTATTAATTTTCAGTTTCTCGATTTTTTAATTTTAATTTTTCGTAATTTTTCAAATCTTCAGTATATGATTTTTAGAATTTTTAATATATAATTTTTCAATTCCTCGATTTTCTAGTTTCTAAATTTTTCAATTTAGCAATTTTTTAATTTCCCAATTATCCGATTTTAAGATTTCTTTAATTTTCCATATTTTGAAAGTTTTCTCATTTTTGATTTTTCAATTTTAATTATTTGCAATTTTTTCAAAAATTTGAAAAATCAAAAAATTAAAAATCGTTAAAAATGAAAAATCAAAAACGTGGAGAAACGGAAAATTTCAAAATCGAAAAAGTGGAAAATCGGGAAATTGCAAATCTAAGCACTGAATAAACGAAAAAATAAAACATTGAAAAACCAAAAATCGAGAAACTTTCGAAAAAAAAATTAATGAACCGAAAAATTGGAACGAAGAAAAAGCGAATCGAATCGAAAAATTGGAAAACCAAAAATTTGTAGAATCGAAAAATTGAAAAACCGAAAAATTGAAAACATTTTCTTCAGCATATAAAAAAGTATAAAAACACCCTGTATCTAGGTCTACGATTCGACAAAATGTTCAATATAACTTATCTTTACGGGTTTTTCTCACCCACGATAAATTTAGTGCGATTAGAGAGACCTTTGATAACCCAGCATTGTTTGATAGTCCAGCCACTTATTACCGGAGTAATCGCCTAGAAAATGGTAACATGTCCACTAACCCAACATTTTTAATTACTTGTCCATTTCAGATCAAATTCTTGACTTTGATTGTTACTTTTGCGTGTTTGGTGACTCCCATTGTTAGTCGAACACTATGGGAACCATCAGTGACAGAAATTTCAGCCCCATCGGATGGTACCATAATCCAGCTGAAAGAAGACCAATCCAAAATACAGATCGCCGGTCTAAAAGGCACCCTTGATCGCACATCTCTCTCAAGTCTTGGTAAAGTAACCGAGATTCGAATACTCAAGAATGAAATTCGCCAAATCGAAACCGGGGCACTCTGTCCCTCGGAAAACTTAAAAGTGCTCGAACTGGATCTCAGCGGAAATAAAAACCCCCCAACACTGACCAAAGGTATGTTCAGTGATTGTAACCTAGAAGAACTGTTTTTGAAATTTGACTACAACAACCCCTCCACTATGGATAAAAACGCTTTGGAGGGTTTGCACAACCTCAAAGTTTTGGGAATTGATAGTCTTCGTTTTACACATCTGGAAAAAAATTTTCTCGTGGTGGCTAAAAATCTGACTTCTTTGACACTATCGAATATTCATGTTGCTACTATCGATGAGGATGTTTTTGAGCAGTTCACTGATTTAGAGGCGCTTGAAATTGTTCATAACATCGAACTGGAACACATTCCTCAAGGACTCTTCAACAGATGTGTTAAACTCAAAACTTTGAACTTGAGAGATAACGCAATTAAGAATTTATCGTGGGACGAATTTCAAGGGTTAAGTTCACTGGAGGAACTGAGCCTTGGTGATAATCGCATTGAGAATTTCGATGCTGATAAAATTGCCAAGAATCTCCCCAAATTAAAAACACTGTCAGTGGAGATAAATGCCGCAGGGTGTGAAAAAGAGGAACAATTTGTACGTACTTTAAAGTCCAAGTTTGACAGATCCATTAATGTTAGTTCAAATAAAAATTATTTCTTGTGTAACTAAAATTCTTTTAGCTAAAGATAAATAATTAAATACTTGCACAAAGACTTTGTTTTTGTACCCTTGACAGTCTGATAAAATGAACAACGTCCTCGGGGTTCTAACCAAAGATAATAACAATCACGTGCAACAAATATTTTGTTTTTGGAACTCACTAGATAACCTTCTTATTTCGCATAACTCGTAGTCCAAGTTCGATTTGTGAAACGACAAGATGGTGCCCCTCCACTCTTCTTAAGCTATAACCTAACTTTATATTTTTAGACGACACACTTTCTCTTTCTTCTAATCTGTGCTTCGTTTGCTTTGAAAACCTGCCAGTGTCGGAACCTTTGGAGCGCAGATCTGCCGGAAATCAGAAACGTGTCTTTAGAAAAAGGAAAACCAATCCAAATAGAAAGCCCTCACACTCAAATACAGGTCTGCGAGCTCAACGGTACCATCTACTCCGACACCTTGTCACAGCTTGGAAACGTCACAGAACTTCGTATTTGTCGCAGCAACATCGAAAAAATAGAACCAGGTGCTTTATGTTCGTCGCAATTAAAAACACTAGAGCTGGATTTCTACACTCAGTCGCAACCACCCACACTGAGTAAAGAAGTTTTCGATAATTGCGACATAGAAGAACTGATTTTGAGGTTCGGTGAAGATAGTACTATTTACAAGATTGATGACGACGCTCTGGGGAATCTTACCAATTTGAAAAAACTATATCTACAAGGGTACAATTTAGAACACGTTGAGAAAAACTTTTTGAAACTACCACACAACGAGTTGACAGTTTTAGAGTTTTCTCTTTGTAACATACACCAAATTGATAGTGACGTGTTCGAGGATTTGAAAGATTTGGAGTCGATTGCGATCGTGCATAATCGAGAGTTGAAAAGTCTTCCAAAAGATTTGTTTAAAAACAATTCGAAGTTGAAAACGCTTACTCTGCGAAGCAATGCAATCGAGAATGTGACTTGGGACGAGTTTGAAGGACTAGCGAATCTAGAAACGTTAACTATGTCTGAAAACAGGATTAATCAGTTTGATGCTGACAAAATTGCAACAAATTTGCCTAACTTGAAGTACCTTAATATTGATCTCAATCCACCACCTTGCAAGCAAAAAGAAGCATTTGTCAATGAGTTGAAGACCAAGTTGACAAATGTTGACGTGACTTATAAGTTCGATCCTGGTTATTACGACTCGTGCGAAGACGAAATTTAAACGAATTAACACAACATAAATCAAACGTTTCCTACAATTATTATTATTAAATAAAAAATCTTCACGCAAACACAAACAATTCACTGATTATTTAGAGAAAGGTCATGACACTGTTCTTTGATTATTCAAATCCAATTTAGTTCAGAAATAACACTGTTATCAGACACTATTTAATTTGTTACAAGTCAGCAATAATGAATTTTCCGACGTTCCTCGCCTTTTTTTTGTTTCACCCGTTTCCAAATTCGGCCGCCAAAATTTATCAAAACGCCACAGAGCTATACATCAGTGGATTGACAGGCACTTTTAAGTACGAAACCCTGTCGGACTTCGCCGATGTGAGTAAGCTCAAAATTTTTGACAATCGTGTTACGAAAATCGAACCTGGGGCTGTTTGCTCGTCTCCTAGTGTCAAAAGTGTCGAGCTGAACTTTGCCGGGAATTCTGAGGCTCCCACTTTGACTAACGATGTCTTCAGGTTGTGCCAATTCCAACTACAGCAGTTGTTCATTAGGCTAGATTTCGACAATCCTTCTCAAATCGATAAAGAAGCTTTGAGAGATTTGAATTTACGTGAGTTGAGTCTCCAGTGTCACAAAGTAGGAATTCTAGATCAAGATTTTTTAACTTTGAACACTTTGAATTTAACACGACTGGTGTTATCGAACTGCTATATCCACAAAATCGATAGACATTTCTTCAGTCGAATGGAGAAGTTAGAAGAGGTTGAAATTAGTTACAATAGAAACTTGACTCATTTACCGAAGAACTTGTTTATTAAAACACCAAATCTGAAGAGGTTGTTTCTACAGCACAACAGTATTAGAGAACTGGAATGGGATGAGTTCGCCGGACTCAATTTTCTCCAAGAATTAGATCTGTCAGGAAACAGGCTGGCAATTTTTGACGCAAGAAACATATCAGAGAATTTGCCAAGCTTGAGACGGCTTTTTCATCTTCTTTATTTTTTCAATGTTTATTTGGATTTAATAATTTTTCTCAATTTTGTAAATAATCTTCAACCTCTCACTTTTCAATTCTTCGGTTTTCCAACTTTTAAATTTTTCAGTCTTGCAAATTTTGGATTTCTCAAATATCTAATTGTCCGATTTCTTTAATTTTTATTATTTTGATTTTACAATTTTTCGTTTTTTCCATTTTTAGGTTTCTCAATTTTTAATTTTTCGATTTTTCAATTTTTTCTTTTTTCAATTTTTCAAGTTTGTGATTTTCAATTTTTGGATTTTTCAAAGTTTTCGTTTTATACTTTTCAGTTTATCCATTTTTCATTTTTTAACTTTAGTGTCTTCAATTTTTTAATTTCACGTTTTCAAAATTTTCAATTTTCCGTTTCTTCAATTTTTCGATTTGCAATTTTTGAATTTTGCAATATTTCGATATTACAATTTTTCATTTTTCGATTTGTTAGTTTCTCAATATTTAGATTTTCAATTTTTTGATTTTTCAATTTTCCGTTTCCTCAATTTTCCAAATTTTTTATTTTTAAGTATTTTTCATTTTCCAAATTTTTTAGTTATTATTTTCTCGATTTCATATCACAATTTTTCGCTTTTCATTTTCTTTATTTTTTCAATGTTTATTTAAATCTTGTAATTTTTCTCAAATTTTTAAAACTTCAGTCCTTCATTATTCAATTTTTTGGTTTCCCAATTTTTAAATTTTTCAGTTTTGCAATTTTTGGATTTCTCGAATATCTAATTTTACGATTTTTTAAAATTTTTAATATTTTGATTTTAGAATATTTCGTTTTTTGGATTTTTGGGTCTCTCAATTTTTTATTTTTCGATTTTTCAATTTTTCCTTTCTTCAACTTCATGGTTTCCATTTTTAGATTTTTCAAAGTTTTCATGTTATACTTTTAAGTTTTTTCATTTTTGATTTTCCAACTTAGGATTCTTCAATTTTTTATTTTCACGGCTTCCAAATTTTCAATTTTTCGTTTCTTCAATTTTTCGATTGGCAAACAATTTTGCAGTATTTCGATATTACAATTTTTTATTTTTCTCAGTTTCTTAAGGTTTAATTTTTCGATTTTTCAATTTTTCGTTTCCTCAATTTTTCAGGTATTTGATTTTTATTTTTCATTTGCCCGGTTTTTTAACTTTTATTTTCCAAATTTTAAATCACAAATTTTCGATTTTTCATTTTTTAATTTTTTAATGTCTACTTCCATTTTAAAATTTTTCGCAATTTTTCAAATCTTCAATCTAGAATTTTTTAATTCCCCGATTTTCCAGTTTTAAAATTTTTCAATTTAGCAATTTTTAGATTTTTCGATTATCCGATTTTCTGGTTTCTTTTTAATTTTTAATATTTTGATTTTACAATATTTCGTTTTTGCAGTTTTTCGATTTTAAGGTTCCTGAATTTTTAATTTTACGATTTTTCAATTTTTGCTTTCTTCAATTTGTCAAATTTGAGGTTTCCAAATAAGTGTTAGATTATTCAAGATTTTCGTTTTATACTTTAGTTTCTTCAATTTTTTAATTTCACATCTTCCAAATTTTCAATTTTTCGTTTCTTGAAATTTTCAGTTTTACAATATTTCGTTGTTACAATTTTTCATTTTCCGTTTCCTCATTTTCCCGATTTTTTAATTTTTATTTTCTGCATTTGAATTCACTTCTTCATTTTCTTTATTTTTTCAATGTTTTCTTCAATTTTATTATTTTTCGCAATTTTTCAAAGTTATTTTTAATATTTTGATTTTACAATACTTCGTTTTTTCTATTTTGCACTGTTTCGACTTTTGGGTTCCTCAATTTTTAATTTTTCCAATTTTCAATTTTTGATGTCTTCAATTTCTGGCGTTCGTCATTTCCAACTTTTAGATTTTTCAAAGTTTTCTTTTTTTGATTTTTCAACTTTAGTTTCTTCAATTTTTTAATTTCACTACTTCCAAATTTTCAATTTTTTGTTTCTTCAATTTTCCGAAGTGCAGGTGTTCAATTTTGCAATATTTTAATACTAGAATTTTTCATTTTTGGATTTTTCAGTTTCTCAAGTTTTAATTTTTCAATTTTTTTTTCAATTTTTCGTTTCCTAAATTTTTCCAATTTTTGATTTTTAGTTTTCATTTTCCCGATATTTTAATTTTTATTTTCTCGATTTTATATAATAATTTTTGGGTTATTCATTCGCTTAATTTTACCACTGTTTCTTCCGATTTTATCATTTTTCGTAATTTTTGAAATTTTGGATTTCTTATTTGATTTTCAGATTTCTTTAATGTTTAATATTTTGATTTTACAATACTTCGTTTTTTCTATTTTGCAATGTTTCGCTTGTAAATTCCATTTTTCGATATTACAATTTTTCATTTTTTCATTTCTCAGTTTCTCAAGGTTTAATTTTTCGATTTTTCAATTTTTCATTTCCTCAATTTTTCAGGTATTTGATATTTATTTTTCATTTTCCCGATTTTTTAAGTTTTATTTTCCAAATTTTAAATCACAATTTTTCGGTTTTTCATTTTTTTATTTTTTCAATGGCTACTTCCATTTTAAAATTTTTCGCAATTTTTCAAATCTTCAACCCAACATTTTTTTATTCCCCGATTTTCCAGTTTTTAAATTTTTCAATTTAGCAATTTTTAGATTTTCCGATTATCCAATTTTCCGATTTATTTAATTTTTAATATTTTGATTTTACAATATTTCGTTTTTGCAGTTTTTCGATTTTTAGGTTCCTCAATTTTTAATTTTTTGATTTTTCAATTTTTGCTTTCTTCAATTTATCAAGTTCGTGATTTCCAAATATTAGATTTTTCAAAATTTTCGTTTCATTCTTTTCAGTTTATTCATTTTTGAATTTTTCACTTTAGTTTGTTTAATTTTTTAATTTCACATCTTTCAAATTTGTTAATTTTTCGATGTTACAATTTTTCATTTTCTGTTTCCTCATTTTCTCGATTTTTTAATTTTTATTTTCTACATTTGATTTCACTTCTTTCATTTTCTTTTTCAATGTTAATTTCGATTTTATAATTTTTCTCATTTTTTGAATCTTCAACATCTCATTTTTAATTCTTCGTTTTCCCAATTTTAAAATTTTTCAGTTTTGCAATTTTTTGATTTCTCGATTATCTAATTTTCCGATTTCTTTAATTTTTAATATTTTGATTTTACATTATTTCGTTTTTTCGATTTTTAGGTTTCTCAGTTTTTATTTTTCGATTTTTCAATTTTTTCTTTCTTCAATTTTTCAATTTTTTAGATTTTTCAAAGTTTTCATTTTTTGCCTTTCAGTTTATTCGATTTTTGACTTTTTAACTTCACTTTCTTCAATTTTTTAATTTCACTACTTCCAAATTTTCAATTTTTCGTTTCTTCAATTTTTCGATTTGCAATTGTTCAATTTTACAATTTTTCATTTTTTGATTTCTCAGTTTTTCAAGTTTTAATTCTTCGATTCTTCCAGTTTTTCATTATTAATTTTCAGTTTCTCGATTTTTTAATTTTAATTTTTCGTAATTTTTCAAATCTTCAGTATATGATTTTTAGAATTTTTATTATATAATTTTTCAATTCCTCGGTTTTTTAGTTTCTAAATTTTTCAATTTAGCAATTTTTTAATTTCCCAATTGTCCGATTTTAAGATTTCTTTAATTTTCCATATTTTGAAAGTTTTCTCATTTTTGATTTTTCAATTTTAATTATTTGCAATTTTTTCAAAAATTTGAAAAATCAAAAAATTAAAAATCGTTAAAAATGAAAAATCAAAAACGTGGAGAAACGGAAAATTTCAAAATCGAAAAAGTGGAAAATCGGGAAATTGCAAATCTAAGCACTGAATAAACGAAAAAATGAAACATTGAAAAACCAAAAATCGAGAAACTTTCGAAAAAAAATTAATGAACCGAAAAATTGGAACGACAAAAAAAACGAATCGAATGGAAAAATTGGAAAACCAAAAATTTGTAGAATCGAAAAATTGAAAAACCGAAAAATTGAAAAGATTTTCTTCAGAATATAAAAAACAGGATTAATCAGTTTGATGCTGACAAAATTGCCACAAATTTGCCATACTTGAAATTCCTTCATATTGATCTCAATCCACCAACTTGCAAGCAAAAAGAAGCATTTGTCAACGAGTTAAAGACCAAGTTGACAAATGTTGACGTGACTTATAAGTTCGATCCTGGTTATTACGACTCGTGCGAAGAAGAAATTTAAACGAATTGACACAACATAAATCAAACGTTTCCTACAATTATTATTATTAAATAAAAAATCTTCACGCAAACACAAACAATTCACTGATTATTTAGAGAAAGGTCATGACACTGTTCTTTGATTATTCAAATCCAATTTAGTTCAGAAATAACACTGTTATCAGACACTATTTAATTTGTTACAAGTCAGCAATAATGAATTTTCCGACGTTCCTCGCCTTTTTTTTGTTTCACCCGTTTCCAAATTCGGCCGCCAAAGTTTATCAAAACGCCACAGAGCTATACATCAGTGGATTGACAGGCACTTTTAAGTACGAAACCCTGTCGGACTTCGCCGATGTGAGTAAGCTCAAAATTTTTGACAATCGTGTTACGAAAATCGAACCTGGGGCTGTTTGCTCGTCTCCTAGTGTCAAAAGTGTCGAGCTGAACTTTGCCGGGAATTCTGAGGCACCCACTTTGACTAACGACGTCTTCAGGTTGTGCCAATTCCAACTACAACAGTTGTTCATTAGGCTAGATTTCGACAATCCTTCTCAAATCGATAAAGAAGCTTTGAGAGATTTGAATTTACGTGAGTTGAGTCTCCAGTGTCACAAAGTAGGGATTCTAGATCAAGATTTTTTAACTTTGAACAGTTTGAATTTAACACGACTGGTGTTATCGAACTGCTATATACACAAAATCGATAGACATTTCTTCAGTCGAATGGAGAAGTTAGAAGAGGTTGAAATTAGTTACAATAGAAACTTGACTCATTTACCGAAGAACGTGTTTATTAAAACACCAAATCTGAAGAGGTTGTTTCTACAGTACAACAGAATTAGAGAGCTGGAATGGGATGAGTTCGCCGGACTCAATTTTCTCCAAGAATTAGATCTGTCAGGAAACAGGCTGGCATTTTTTGACGCAAGAAACATATCAGAGGATTTGCCAAACTTGAGACGGCTTTTTCATCTTCTTTATTTTTTCAATGTTTATTTGGATTTTATCATTTTTCTCAATTTTGTAAATAATCTTCAACATCTCACTTTTCAAATCTTCGGTTTTCCAACTTTAAAATTTTTCAGTCTTGCAAATTTTGGATTTCTCAGATATCTAATTGTCCGATTTCTTTAATTTTTAATATTTTGATTGTACAATTTTCGTTCTATCCATTTTTAGGTTTCTCAATTTTTAATTTTTCGATTTTTCAATTTTTTCTTTTTTCAGTTTTTCAAGTTCGTGATTTTCAATTTTTGGATTTTTCAAAGTTTTCATTTTATACTTTTCAGTTCTTTCATTTTTCATTTTTTAACTTTAGTTTCTTCAATTTTTTAATTTCACGTCTTCAAAATTTTCGATTTTTCGATTTGCAATTTTTGAATTTTGCAATATTTCGATATTACAATTTTTCATTTTTCAATTTGTTAGTTTCTCAATATTTAGATTTTCAATTTTTTGATTTTTCAATTTTCCGTTTCCTCAATTTTATAATTTTTCTCCAATTTTTAAAACTTCAATCCTTCATTCCGTTTCCTCAATTTTCCAAATTTTTTATTTTTAAGCATTTTTCATTTTCCAAATTTTTTATTTATTATTTTCTCGATTTCATATCACAATTTTTCGCTTTTCATTTTCTTTATTTTTTCAATGTTTATTTGAATCTTGTGATTTTTCTCAAATTTTTAAAACTTTAATCCTTCATTATTCAATTCTTTGGTTTCCCAATTTTTAAATTTTTCAGTTTTGCAATTTTTAGATTTCTCGAATATCTAATTTTACGATTTTTTTAAATTTTTAATATTTTGATTTTAGAATATTTCGTTTTTTGGATTTTTGGGTCTCTCAATTTTTTATTTTTCGATTTTTCAATTTTTCCTTTCTTCAACTTCATGGTTTCCATTTTTAGATTTTTCAAAGTTTTCATGTTATACTTTTAAGTTTTTTCATTTTTGATTTTCCAACTTAGGATTCTTCAATTTTTTATTTTCACGGCTTCCAAATTTTCAATTTTTCGTTTCTTCAATTTTTCGATTGGCAAACAATTTTGCAGTATTTCGATATTACAATTTTTTATTTTTCTCAGTTTCTTAAGGTTTAATTTTTCGATTTTTCAATTTTTCGTTTCCTCAATTTTTCAGGTATTTGATTTTTATTTTTCATTTGCCCGGTTTTTTAACTTTTATTTTCCAAATTTTAAATCACAAATTTTCGATTTTTCATTTTTTAATGTCTACTTCCATTTTAAAATTTTTCGCAATTTTTCAAATCTTCAATCTAGAATTTTTTAATTCCCCGATTTTCCAGTTTTAAAATTTTTCAATTTAGCAATTTTTAGATTGTTCGATTATCCGATTTTCTGGTTTCTTTTTAATTTTTAATATTTTGAGTTTACAATATTTCGTTTTTGCAGTTTTTCGATTTTAAGGTTCCTGAATTTTTAATTTTACGATTTTTCAATTTTTGCTTTCTTCAATTTGTCAAATTTGAGGTTTCCAAATATTAGATTTTTCAAGATTTTCGTTTTATACTTTAGTCTCTTCAATTTTTTAATTTCACATCTTCCAAATTTTCAATTTTTCGTTTCTTGAAATTTTCAGTTTTACAATATTTCGTTGTTACAATTTTTCATTTTCCGTTTCCTCATTTTCCCGATTTTTTAATTTTTATTTTCTGCATTTGAATTCACTTCTTCATTTTCTTTATTTTTTCAATGTTTCCTTCAATTTTATTATTTTTCGCAATTTTTCAAAGTTATTTTTAATATTTTGATTTTACAATACTTCGTTTTTTCTATTTTGCACTGCTTCGACTTTTGGGTTCCTCAATTTTTAATTTTTCCAATTTTCAATTTTTGATGTCTTCAATTTCTGGCGTTCGTCACTTCCAACTTCTAGATTTTTCAAAGTTTTCTTTTTTTGATTTTTCAACTTTAGTTTCTTCAATTTTTTAATTTCACTACTTCCAAATTTTCAATTTTTTGTTTCTTCAATTTTCCGAAGTGCAGGTGTTCAATTTTGCAATATTTTAATATTAGAATTTTTCATTTTTGGATTTTTCAGTTTCTCAAGTTTTAATTTTTCATTTTTTTTTTAAATTTTTCGTTTCCTAAATTTTTCCAATTTTTGATTTTTAGTTTTCATTTTCCCGATATTTTAATTTTTATTGTCTCGATTTTATATCATAATTTTTGGGTTATTCATTCGCTTAATTTTACCACTGTTTCTTCCGATTTTATCATTTTTCGTAATTTTTGAAATTTTGGATTTCTTATTTGATTTTCAGATTTCTTTAATGTTTAATATTTTGATTTTACAATACTTCGTTTTTTCTATTTTGCGATGTTTCGCTTGTAAATTCCATTTTTCGATATTACAATTTTTCATTTTTTCGTTTCTCAGTTTCTCAAGGTTTAATTTTTCGATTTTTCAAATTTTCATTTCCTCAATTTTTCAGGTATTTGATATTTATTTTTCATTTTCCCGATATTTTAAGTTTTATTTTCCAAATTTTAAATCACAATTTTTCGGTTTTTCATTTTTTTATTTTTTCAATGGCTACTTCCATTTTAAAATTTTTCGCAATTTTTCAAATCTTCAACCTAACATTTTTTAATTCCCCGATTTTCCAGTTTTTAAATTTTTCAATTTAGCAATTTTCAGATTTTCCGATTATCCAGCTTTCCGATTTCTTTAATTTTTAATATTTTGATTTTACAATATTTCGTTTTTGCAGTTTTTCGATTTTTAGGTTCCTCAATTTTTAATTTTTTGATTTTTCAATTTTTGCTTTCTTCAATTTATCAAGTTCGTGATTTCCAAATATTAGATTTTTCAAAATTTTCGTTTCATTTTTTTCAGTTTATTCATTTTTGAATTTTTCACTTTAGTTTGTTTAATTTTTTAATTTCACATCTTTCAAATTTGTTAATTTTTCGATGTTACAATTTTTCATTTTCTGTTTCCTCATTTTCTCGATTGTTTAATTTTTATTTTCTACATTTGATTTCACTTCTTCATTTTCTTTATTTTTTCAATGTTAATTTCGATTTTATAATTTTTCTCATTTTTTGAATCTTCAACATCTCATTTTTAATTCTTCGTTTTCCCAATTTTAAAATTTTTCAGTTTTGCAATTTTTTGATTTCTCGATTATCTAATTTTCCGATTTCTTTAATTTTTAATATTTTGATATTACATTATTTCGTTTTTTCGATTTTTAGGTTTCTCAGTTTTTATTTTCCGATTTTTCAATTTTTTCTTTCTTCAATTTTTCAATTTTTTAGATTTTTCAAAGTTTTCATTTTTTGCCTTTCAGTTTATTCGATTTTTGACTTTTTAACTTCACTTTCTTCAATTTTTTAATTTCGCTACTTCCAAATATTCAATTTTTCGTTTCTTCAATTTTTCGATTAGCAATTGTTCAATTTTACAATTTTTCATTTTTTGATTTCTCAGTTTTTCAAGTTTTAATTCTTCGATTCTTCCAGTTTTTCATTATTAATTTTCAGTTTCTCGATTTTTTAATTTTAATTTTTCGTAATTTTTCAAATCTTCAGTATATGATTTTTAGAATTTTTAATATATAATTTTTCAATTCCTCGGTTTTCTAGTTTCTAAATTTTTCAATTTAGCAATTTTTTAATTTCCCAATTGTCCGATTTTAAGATTTCTTTAATTTTCCATATTTTGAAAGTTTTCTCATTTTTGATTTTTCAATTTTAATTATTTGCAATTTTTTCAAAAATTTGAAAAATCAAAAAATTAAAAATCGTTAAAAATGAAAAATCAAAAACGTGGAGAAACGGAAAATTTCAAAATCGAAAAAGTGGAAAATCGGGAAATTGCAAATCTAAGCACTGAATAAACGAAAAAATGAAACATTGAAAAACCAAAAATCGAGAAACTTTCGAAAAAAAATTAATGAACCGAAAAATTGGAACGACAAAAAAAACGAATCGAATGGAAAAATTGGAAAACCAAAAATTTGTAGAATCGAAAAATTGAAAAACCGAAAAATTGAAAAGATTTTCTTCAGAATATAAAAAACAGGATTAATCAGTTTGATGCTGACAAAATTGCCACAAATTTGCCATACTTGAAATTCCTTCATATTGATCTCAATCCACCAACTTGCAAGCAAAAAGAAGCATTTGTCAACGAGTTGAAGACCAATTTGACAAATGTTGACGTGACTTATAAGTTCGATCCTGGTTATTACGACTCGTGCGAAGAAGAAATTTAAACGAATTAACACAACATAAATAAAACGTTTCCTACAATTATTATTATTAAATAAAAAATCTTCACGCAAACACAAACAATTCACTGATTATTTAGAGAAAGGTCATGACACTGTTCTTTGATTATTCAAATCCAATTTAGTTCAGAAATAACACTGTTATCAGACACTATTTAATTTGTTACAAGTCAGCAATAATGAATTTTTCGACGTTCCTCGCCTTTTTTTTGTTTCACCCGTTTCCAAATTCGGCCGCCAAAATTTATCAAAACGCCACAGAGCTATACATCAGTGGATTGACAGGCACTTTTAAGTACGAAACCCTGTCGGACTTCGCCGATGTGAGTAAGCTCAAAATTTTTGACAATCGTGTTACGAAAATCGGACCTGGTGCTGTTTGCTCGTCTCCTAGTGTCAAAAGTGTCGAGCTGAACTTTGCCGGGAATTCTGAGGCACCCACTTTGACTAACGACGTCTTCAGGTTGTGCCAATTCCAACTACAACAGTTGTTCATTAGGCTAGATTTCGACAATCCTTCTCAAATCGATAAAGAAGCTTTGAGAGATTTGAATTTACGTGAGTTGAGTCACCAGTGTCACAAAGTAGGGATTCTAGATCAAGATTTTTTAACTTTGAACACTTTGAATTTAACACGACTGCTGTTATCGAACTGCTATGTCCACAAAATCGATAGACATTTCTTCAGTCGAATGGAGAAATTAGAAGAGGTTGAAATTAGTTACAATAGAAACTTGACTCATTTACCGAAGAACGTGTTTATTAAAACACCAAATCTGAAGAGGTTGTTTCTACAGTACAACAGAATTAGAGAGCTGGAATGGGATGAGTTCGCCGGACTCAATTTTCTCCAAGAATTAGATCTGTCAGGAAACAGGCTGGCATTTTTTGACGCAAGAAACATATCAGAGGATTTGCCAAACTTGAGACGGCTTTTTCATCTTCTTTATTTTTTCAATGTTTATTTGGATTTTATCATTTTTCTCAATTTTGTAAATAATCTTCAACATCTCACTTTTCAAATCTTCGGTTTTCCAACTTTAAAATTTTTCACTCTTGCAAATTTTGGATTTCTCAGATATCTAATTGTCCGATTTCTTTAATTTTTAATATTTTGATTGTACAATTTTCGTTCTATCCATTTTTAGGTTTCTCAATTTTTAATTTTTCGATTTTTCAATTTTTTCTTTTTTCAGTTTTTCAAGTTCGTGATTTTCAATTTTTGGATTTTTCAAAGTTTTCATTTTATACTTTTCAGTTTTTTCATTTTTCATTTTTTAACTTTAGTTTCTTCAATTTTTTAATTTCACGTCTTCAAAATTTTCGATTTTTCGTTTCTTCAATTTTTCGATTTGCAATTTTTGAATTTTGCAATATTTCGATATTACAATTTTTCATTTTTCAATTTGTTAGTTTCTCAATATTTAGATTTTCAATTTTTTGATTTTTCAATTTTCCGTTTCCTCAATTTTCCAAATTTTTTATTTTTAAGCATTTTTCATTTTCCAAATTTTTTAGTTATTATTTTCTCGATTTCATATCACAATTTTTCGCTTTTCATTTTCTTTATTTTTTCAATGTTTATTTGAATCTTGTAATTTTTCTCAAATTTTTAAAACTTCAATCCTTCATTATTCAATTTTTTGGTTTCCCAATTTTTAAATTTTTCAGTTTTGCAATTTTTGGATTTCTCGAATATCTAATTTTACGATTTTTTAAAATTTTTAATATTTTGATTTTAGAATATTTCGTTTTTTGGATTTTTGGGTCTCTCAATTTTTTATTTTTCGATTTTTCAATTTTTCCTTTCTTCAACTTCACGGTTTCCATTTTTAGATTTTTCAAAGTTTTCATGTTATACTTTTAAGTTTTTTCATTTTTGATTTTCCAACTTAGGATTCTTCAATTTTTTATTTTCACGGCTTCCAAATTTTCAATTTTTCGTTTCTTCAATTTTTCGATTGGCAAACAATTTTGCAGTATTTCGATATTACAATTTTTTATTTTTCTCAGTTTCTTAAGGTTTAATTTTTCGATTTTTCAATTTTTCGTTTCCTCAATTTTTCAGGTATTTGATTTTTATTTTTCATTTTCCCGGTTTTTTAACTTTTATTTTCCAAATTTTAAATCACAAATTTTCGATTTTTCATTTTTTAATGTCTACTTCCATTTTAAAATTTTTCGCAATTTTTCAAATCTTCAATCTAGAATTTTTTAATTCCCCGATTTTCCAGTTTTAAAATTTTTCAATTTAGCAATTTTTAGATTTTTCGATTATCCGATTTTCTGGTTTCTTTTTAATTTTTAATATTTTGAGTTTACAATATTTCGTTTTTGCAGTTTTTCGATTTTAAGGTTCCTGAATTTTTAATTTTACGATTTTTCAATTTTTGCTTTCTTCAATTTGTCAAATTTGAGGTTTCCAAATATTAGATTTTTCAAGATTTTCGTTTTATACTTTAGTCTCTTCAATTTTTTAATTTCACATCTTCCAAATTTTCAATTTTTCGTTTCTTGAAATTTTCAGTTTTACAATATTTCGTTGTTACAATTTTTCATTTTCCGTTTCCTCATTTTCCCGATTTTTTAATTTTTATTTTCTGCATTTGAATTCACTTCTTCATTTTCTTTATTTTTTCAATGTTTCCTTCAATTTTATTACTTTTCGCAATTTTTCAAAGTTATTTTTAATATTTTGATTTTACAATACTTCGTTTTTTCTATTTTGCACTGCTTCGACTTTTGGGTTCCTCAATTTTTAATTTTTCCAATTTTCAATTTTTGATGTCTTCAATTTCTGGCGTTCGTCATTTCCAACTTTTAGATTTTTCAAAGTTTTCTTTTTTTGATTTTTCAACTTTAGTTTCTTCAATTTTTTAATTTCACTACTTCCAAATTTTCAATTTTTTGTTTCTTCAATTTTCCGAAGTGCAGGTGTTCAATTTTGCAATATTTTAATATTAGAATTTTTCATTTTTGGATTTTTCAGTTTCTCAAGTTTTAATTTTTCAATTTTTTTTTCAATTTTTCGTTTCCTAAATTTTTCCAATTTTTGATTTTTAGTTTTCATTTTCCCGATATTTTAATTTTTATTTTCTCGATTTTATATAATAATTTTTGGGTTATTCATTCGCTTAATTTTACCACTGTTTCTTCCGATTTTATCATTTTTCGTAATTTTTGAAATTTTGGATTTCTTATTTGATTTTCAGATTTCTTTAATGTTTAATATTTTGATTTTACAATACTTCGTTTTTTCTATTTTGCAATGTTTCGCTTGTAAATTCCATTTTTCGATATTACAATTTTTCATTTTTTCATTTCTCAGTTTCTCAAGGTTTAATTTTTCGATTTTTCAATTTTTCATTTCCTCAATTTTTCAGGTATTTGATATTTATTTTTCATTTTCCCGATTTTTTAAGTTTTATTTTCCAAATTTTAAATCACAATTTTTCGGTTTTTCATTTTTTTATTTTTTCAATGGCTACTTCCATTTTAAAATTTTTCGCAATTTTTCAAATCTTCAACCCAACATTTTTTTATTCCCCGATTTTCCAGTTTTTAAATTTTTCAATTTAGCAATTTTTAGATTTTCCGATTATCCAATTTTCCGATTTATTTAATTTTTAATATTTTGATTTTACAATATTTCGTTTTTGCAGTTTTTCGATTTTTAGGTTCCTCAATTTTTAATTTTTTGATTTTTCAATTTTTGCTTTCTTCAATTTATCAAGTTCGTGATTTCCAAATATTAGATTTTTCAAAATTTTCGTTTCATTCTTTTCAGTTTATTCATTTTTGAATTTTTCACTTTAGTTTGTTTAATTTTTTAATTTCACATCTTTCAAATTTGTTAATTTTTCGATGTTACAATTTTTCATTTTCTGTTTCCTCATTTTCTCGATTTTTTAATTTTTATTTTCTACATTTGATTTCACTTCTTTCATTTTCTTTTTCAATGTTAATTTCGATTTTATAATTTTTCTCATTTTTTGAATATTCAACATCTCATTTTTAATTCTTCGTTTTCCCAATTTTAAAATTTTTCAGTTTTGCAATTTTTTGATTTCTCGATTATCTAATTTTCCGATTTCTTTAATTTTTAATATTTTGATTTTACATCATTTCGTTTTTTCGATTTTTAGGTTTCTCAGTTTTTATTTTTCGATTTTGAAATTTTTTCTTTCTTCAATTTTTCAATTTTTTAGATTTTTCAAAGTTTTCATTTTTTGCCTTTCAGTTTATTCGATTTTTGACTTTTTAACTTCACTTTCTTCAATTTTTTAATTTCCCTACTTCCAAATTTTCAATTTTTCGTTTCTTCAATTTTTCGATTTGCAATTGTTCAATTTTACAATTTTTCATTTTTTTGATTTCTCAGTTTTTCAAGTTTTAATTCTTCGATTCTTCCAGTTTTTCATTATTAATTTTCAGTTTCTCGAATTTTTAATTTTAATTTTTCGTAATTTTTCAAATCTTCAGTATATGATTTTTAGAATTTTTAATATATAATTTTTCAATTCCTCGGTTTTCTAGTTTCTAAATTTTTCAATTTAGCAATTTTTTAATTTCCCAATTGTCCGATTTTAAGATTTCTTTAATTTTCCATATTTTGAAAGTTTTCTCATTTTTGATTTTTCAATTTTAATTATTTGCAATTTTTTCAAAAATTTGAAAAATCAAAAAATTAAAAATCGTTAAAAATGAAAAATCAAAAACGTGGAGAAACGGAAAATTTCAAAATCGAAAAAGTGGAAAATCGGGAAATTGCAAATCTAAGCACTGAATAAACGAAAAAATGAAACATTGAAAAACCAAAAATCGAGAAACTTTCGAAAAAAAATTAATGAACCGAAAAATTGGAACGACAAAAAAAACGAATCGAATGGAAAAATTGGAAAACCAAAAATTTGTAGAATCGAAAAATTGAAAAACCGAAAAATTGAAAAGATTTTCTTCAGAATATAAAAAACAGGATTAATCAG